GGAAGAGACAGCATAGATCGCCTTGTTTCTTTTCTAGAAATTGGAAATCGAACAAACAGAATAAGGCACTGGGAGAAAATCTGATCTTTTAAAAACTTTTAAGGATTTCCGAGAGATTTGAACTCCTATGAAGGAAAAAATACGACCGCATCCAATTTTAATTGAATAATGTGCTTTTCCGATTGTTTACAACGGTGATATCGCTCGTAAACATTTTGCTTATTGGATTCAGTCATTTTGTGAAGCTTCTATTTGGTGTTAAGAGGAAACAGCAGATTAAATCAAGCTTTGAACTCAACTTTATATTTAAGATTTTTCGTTACACATATCGTAAATCCTAGACATCTGAATTACTTTATTTCGGATCTAGTTCAGAGAATAGTTGAACTTCGTACCGGTTTTTCAACAAAAAAATGAGATATATACCCTTCGCCTATGGTAAAGATTGTTTTTTCCCTATGATTGATTATCTACATTCTGCAAGTTTCTAAACCACACATCTATTTATTATTCTACTAGCATGTACTACTGTAGAAGAGCGACCTCTATCTACAAAATAGAACAATGATTACACATACGCTTTCCATTTTGGCTCTTATTATCTGTCTTACTCATGCGCTATTATCCAGCTTTTGTTCCATCCGTTTTGTTGCGCATTAGTGTGTTATTGCAAGTTGATTGGTTGGTCCATAGTTTACCGAGTAACCATACCGGGTGAAGGTTTCACATAGTCAAATTCTTCCATAATGGCACATTCACGCGACAGTTTTTGACTTGGTTGATTCTTATCTTTCCAATCTTGTCTCGTGTGAATGCACTTAGTTTAAAAAAGCAGTATGGAATTTGCCAACTCGGTTAGTTAACCTAGTTTATAGAGCTGGGGTACAGCCACGCGACACGTTTAACTTAGTTTAATCACAATCCTTGGTTAGTTAACTGGGTTCGAGAATGACTGTTTAAATAAATGCTTCTGGAGGTTGACTATGTGGAAATACCGAAGATTACTTTCGCGAATAATTCGACGAAAGACATCTTTTTTGACGATTTTATCCATCAATGAAGTGGCATAAAACTGCATAAGTGTATAGGTTATTTAACGTAAGGCATCTGTTAGGTATTGATCAGAACGTGAAATAGTTATTTTTGTGCGTTCTCTTTCTTTTCGTGTTGTTATTATTTTTCTCTTTCTGTAGTTGGACGAACGAATATTTCTATTCTATTCCACTCTTTTGCTCAAGGTCAAAAATATGTTCGTTTTTCATGCACTTTCTCTCTGCGTGCATATTTCGTCTGATTCTTTTCGTTTTCTTTGTTAGTGGTAAAACGCTTTTGTAACTGTGAACACTTTTTCTATTGTTATCGTTGAAGTTGTTGTGCATACGTTCTATTTCTCTTTATTCCTGGTTATATAAATTGCCCACTGTACTACAGTTCTGTTCTAGATCTTGTCTTAGTATACTGCTTGAAAATGGTTGCATCAACATCTCAATTGCCCGTGTCTGGTTCGACGACTATGCCTAAATGGGATTCTCGGTATGCTGGCCATGTACCACACGATGCTTCATACTACTCGAAATGTGTTCTTGGTGGCATTCTCGCCTGTGGTCTCACTCATACTGCTATCTGTCCACTTGATGTCACAAAATGTAACATGCAGGTGAGTTGTCTAAACTCGAAATTGCAACCGTTTCAGTACGATCAAAAATCTTGCCTAGGACTTGAATATTTATCATGTGCGAATTTCCTTGCAAAATAAATGAAATTTTTTTTATTGTTCCGCAGTATGAGAAAAACCATTCAAATCTTGCAATAAGAAATTTGAGAAAATAAGTGTGAAAATGTTCTTGTATGACATTTTTACGAACTACCGATGACGTGCTCTGCGGTAGACTTTTTTGGTACTCTTCAATGCATATGACTGGCCATGAAGTGGTGTGTTTTTGTGCGTTCTGTCCTTAACAATAGAGGAGAATTGAGAATGAGATGTTTTTTCTCTGGAATTTTGTTCTGTTCTGTGTATACTATTCGTCTTGTTCGTATGATTTTGGACAAGGAAGTCATGTATGAAACACCCAGAAAGGATTACGCAAATTTGAAATTGATGCATCGTGTACCTTACAGAACTTATTGTTGGGCACGAATAGAATGTGTGTCAATGTTTATCGAGACCATCTTGTCTTGACTAGTGAGAGAACGGTGGTCAATTATCAATTTTCTTTTTGTTTAGGTCAATCCGGAAAAATACAAGGGTCTTATCAAGGGTTTGAAAATTATTGTTGCCGAAGAGGGCAGTCGTGCTGTTTGGAAAGGCTGGTTACCAACTTTTTTCGGTTATTCAGCTCAAGGTGCTTTCAAATATGGTCTCTATGAAGTATTCAAAGATCAATATGCAAACATGGTCGGTAAGGACAATTATGATAAATACAAGGGTCTCGTTTGGTGTGCAGCTTCTGCCTCGGCTGAATTCTTTGCCGATATGGCTTTATGTCCACTGGAGATGGTCAAGGTCAAAGTACAAACAGCACCCCACGGAACATTTCCGGTTGCATTTGGTCCGGCATGGTCACAAATGAATGCCAAACGAGCGGATACCGGTTTTCCATACCGATCGCTTGTACCATTGTGGTCACGACAAATTCCATATACCGTGGCCAAATTCTACTTCTTCGAGAAGGTCAGTCCTATTCTCTTTTTCCATTCATGCAAATATAATTTCAGAAATAGATTAAAACCAATGTCAATTTTCACTTTCATTTTGAGATGAACACATCTTCAACATCATTTTTTTCCCTATCATTTCGTCGTTCGTTCTATTTTGTACTATTTTTTTCTCGCTTCAGGTCGTACAATTGTTCTACACGCACGTGTTTACCCAGCCGAAGGACACCTATTCGAAAACTACTCAACTCGGCGTTACATTTGCTTCGGGTTATACTGCCGGTGTGATCTGCGCCATTGTCTCACACCCGGCCGATTCGGTAGTTTCTCTTCTTGGCAAACCTGCCAATAAAGGCAAGAGCCTAGGACAAATTATCAGTGAGACCGGCTTCGTCAAACTTGCCACAAAGGTTCGTTGTTTTACTATTAGAAAAAGAAATGAAATGATTTGTTTTTGTTTTTTTACAAAAAAATAGGGTCTCGGTACTCGAGTACTCATGATTGGTACATTGACCGGTCTACAGTGGTGGATCTACGATACATTCAAGACAGCACTGGGCATGGGTACGACGGGTGGCAAATAGAAAAACACAAAGAAAATAATTCACCATCTAGTTCAAAACAGAATTTTATAGTTTTAGTTTTTATCTTCTTTTTATTTTTTTAATTAAATTTACAATTCCAGTTTAAAGCTCAACATCTTTCTAGCTCTACAAAAGAACTCATGCAGAACTCTAGAGTGATTTGTTACTCCAATCACAAACCTTAACTGGAGGCACACACAAGAAAAATATAGCAATGCTTGAAAATGAACAAAAAAATGCCAAATATTAGGAGTTTTTTATGGACTTCACGGATTAGAAAAGCATGATACATTAAACACTTGTTAACCGATGTAATTTTGCACTATTTTCTAATAGAACAGCCGCGGTTTTGGCAGCTTTTAAGCTGATCAAAACAGGGCAGGAAACGGGCCGGTTGGCCCGGCCCGGTCTGAAATTTTGCGGGCGGGTGGTCTCGGTCCAGGCTATTCTTGGGCTCGGCCGGGCTGAGGCGATTCATGGGTCAATTTAAATAGTCGGGCTCCCGGCCTGACTCTGTTTTATTATTATTTCATTTTTTTGTAAAAAACCGTCCTTCGTTTAAGTTTATGTTGATAAACTACTTGATCATCCATACAGAATGGAGTTCTGTGATATAGTATGCATTAGTCTATTGATCTAACGATGAAAGGATGCCGTTGCTACGGATTCCGTTGAATTTTTGGGGCATTTTTATTCTGCCTTAAATACATTGCAAAAGAATTCTAATCAATAATTATCGATTCAAAATAAAATTGAGCTTGTAATCGTCTAAATGCACTTGTTTTTTACAAGTTTTTTTCGGGCTTTTTGCCCTATTTTTAAAACTTCAATAAAAACTTCATTTTTTGATATGACGAGTTGATTCTAGCGTAGTTCGATAGAGAACATTAATTTGTATACGGAAAAACCCTATTCATCGTTCCCGAATGAAGTTTGCCGCAGAAATTTAGCGTTCGCCTTCCCGAGAAAACCTCAGCTAAAAGTATTTTTCACCTCGCCTTACGGCTAGTTTCTCTCGAAGCAAGCATTTTGAAGCAAAATTCTGAGTGCAAAAGTTGTTCAGGATCGAATTTTGGAGTCCCTGACGAGAACTTAAAAATTTTTTTTTTAAAAATTTTTGTTTTTGATTTTTAAATTAAAAAATACGAAATTTTAAAATTTTAAAAATCCTAAAATTTAATTTAAAAGTCAGAAACAGAAAATTTTAAAAAAGGCTCTCGTCAAGGGCTCCAAAATTCGATTCTGAACAACTTTTGCACTCAGAGTTTTGCTCCAAAATGCTTGGTTCGGGCGAAACTAGTCGTAAGGTTAGGTAAAAAAATCTTCGGTGAGCCAAAAACCAGCGATATTTTCAAGTTTTGAATTTTTTTTTCAAGCCTTCCCGGTTTGTAGAGGACACTTCGAAGTGTATGGTCGGAAGTTTTTTCGGCTTAATGAAATTATTTGGCTGAGACAAAAATTAATTACTTAAACAATATTGTTAAAGTTTCGACTTACCGAGCGACCAAAAACGAATTCTAAAATGTTTAAGGTAGTCCATATTGTAGCGCGTGAAATTCTCTGTTAGATGAGGTATTGCTTGAATCTTTTCGTTGCGTTGCTATTTTACAAATAAGACTTTATGCTAGTAGAGTAGGCTAAATTAACGTTAATTAGTACTGATTAGTCAATACCAGGAAGGACAGAACAAAAATTCTTGCATATTTTCTCGTAATAAATATTCTCCACACATTTCCCTATCGATCTAAGCAAGAACCAAGCTTTTGTGATGAATGGAGGATGGACAGGAAATTCTTAATAATAATCCCTTGTTGAAAAATTTAACAATATATTTTTAAGTAATTAATTTTTTTATCAGCCAGATAATGTCAGTAAGCCGAAAAAACTTCAGGACATATACTTCGAAGTGTCCTCTACAAACTGGGAACGTTAGAGAAAAATCTAAATGGGAGGACTCCCCCTTAAGGCAGAATAAAACTGTCCCAAAAATTCGACGAAAAATCACGAAAGGAAGCACTTTTCTTTTTTGGTCGTTAGATCATATACTACAGATCAATTAGCACCCATAAAAACCGCTGCATTTTACGTGTGAAAACCTTTTTTCATGGATCCTCGACACCTTTTAAGCTTTACTTTGCAAAAGAATATATCCGATTCTTTCCGTAGAAATCCTATAGCGCTCGGTAAGATTGAGTAAATTTAAATCTGAAAACGGCAATCGTATCTTCTAGCATAAGAATGAAATTTCAACAAAAACAATATTTTTCCGTTGCTTTTCCAGAAGTAACATTCCGTTATCTTTTACTATTAATTGTAAGAAAAATTCGTCACCCTAACCTTCACCCACTGGTAACAGCTAACGAATTTGTGTAACCCATTACAGCAACAATAATGAGAAAGTGTCACCCCTAACAGCAAAAGAAGAAATCTGAATTTAGCTGATAGTATGAGCGAATGTTTGAAAGTTTCGGTCGAGTTAGATTGTGCATTCAGTTAACAAAGAATGATTGAGCTAGGCTAACTGATAAACTCTGTGAACAAGGGCACAAAGAAACAACTAGCAGAGGCGCAGTCATGAAATTATGTATTCAAGGATTCGTATTCGACAGTATCTTTTATTGAAAAAATTGAAAAGTCGAACAGTCAAAAAGTTGAAAATGTTATTTCAAGAAAGAAAGCCATCGAGACATCGTACATTGTATCTAGACAAATATGGAGATATCTAGATGCATCTAAATACAGATAAATGTTTTTCTCGGTATAACGACATAACATTGCCTATGCATCTACATGAGCAATGCTGTGAACAATGCATTTAGCGTCTATTAAGTGGTTCATGCATCTGGCTGACTCCGTGATTCAGACAATACAGCTAGACATCATTGTCAATGCACGGATATGTCAGTGTTTCAATAAATACATTTATTCCAATACAGTGCTCTGTACGTGGACGGAGACAAAAAAATATGCTTATTTCGTGCACTTTTCGTTTTTGACCTACCCAATGGCTCTACCGCATGTACGGAGATATTCGGAGATGAAATCTTATTTGATTTTGGTTTAAACTCAGAACTTTCATTCAATGAAGTTAGGTAGATCAAAAACGAAAAGTGCACGAAATAAGCATATTTTTTTTTGTCTGCGTTCACGCACCAGACTACTGTAAGCAAGCACTGCTTCACTTGCCTATTTTCTGGCTTCTCAAGACATTGAGATTTGCGTTGTGTGGTATTGGATTCAACCCGATAGATCTAGATAAGTCAATATTTTTTACTCTTTTACCTAGATGTTCTTGCTGGCGCATTGCCCAATGCTCCAGCAAGAACATAGATTTTTCCGCTGGGCAATTTTTGCTTGGGTAAGAACATGTAGAAAATTTACCTTATATAAAAAGATAAATCTCTTAACTTAATAATCAGCACTCTCTGAAAAAAAGCGTATTTTGAAAAACTGAAAGGGTTTTGAAGAACAGTTCTAAACAAATGGTTTAGTATCTACTTTACAAAACCCAAAAGGGTTTAATAACCAAACATTCACTAGAAACTTTTTCCTAAACCGAAAAAGGTGTATTTAAAAACCAAAAGGGGTTTTCTATTTGACCAAAAAACAAAAAAGCGTTCTTTAGAAAGAGTCAAAGGGCTTTCTAGCTTTGGTGAAAATCAAAAGAATTTTTCCCTAACATCATTTGGTTTAGGAAAATATTTGTTTTAGTTTTTCACGTAGCGAAAGATTTTCCAGTTTGGGCAAAAATCAAAAGATTTGTTTTAGAAGAGTTAATCATACACTTTATATTTCGAAACATTCCGCAATAGTATTATCATTTCAGACAGCCCTCTCCTCTGCTTCTTCAAAATGTACTCGAGGCCTCATTCCGATGGTAAAAATATGATTGTTTTTACTTTCATCATGCTTTACCCGGTTTTCTCTTTAGGAGCATGATGAAAGCTGGTTTTCTTCTTTGTGTAGATGATGACGACGCTGTTATCTTAAAGTGTATTTGTTCTTTTACTTTTGATACTTAAGATTAAGTGTTTCTTAAGGTAATTGACATATAGATTTCACCATGTTACATACAGAACGAAAAAGGGTTTTGAAGAACTGCTAAATCTTCTCCTAAACGCTTTTTTATGTAACCTCCTAAACCCCTATTCGTTCTGTATGGTGTCATTTTCCTGAACCCTTTAAAGTTTTTTAAACTACGCTTTTTTTTTTAGAGTGCAGAACATAAATGACAGTGGTATCAAACTACTCAGACGTTCAAATCATCATCTGTATCATATTCACAAGATTCATCGGTTTCGTCACAATTATCACGATCTAATTTTGGTCAACAAGCACCATCAACATCAGTATAACAAACATTTTCACTCAGACTGTCCTTGATCGTAAACGTGATAATCATTGTACAATCGATTGCGATTGAGACGTCAGACAGATATTACAGATGTGAATACTCAAATCATAGAGTTCGTGATTGCTCATAGGTTTCGGAAAATGAAGTCACCAGATGATTTCAGGAAAGATACAAGTAAGTAATATCATCAAAAATATCACCGACATTTAGTCCAATATACATTACAGTACGAGAGAACAGCACATCATCAACCCATGACAAGAAAGCAGTACATTTCTATGTTAATTTCGGAAATCGCAACCCGATTGTCCGAAATTGGCAGTAATGTTGCCGGCATAATTCAATATCGGACGACATTTATCTATTTTAGTTGTCAAATTTGATTGGTTATATACGGGAATAATGTTAAATCGATCATTATTCTAGAAAAACATTATCTTTGATCAATGGGTATAAATCATATCATTTAATACAAATTTCCAGGTACAACAACACCCTGTATCTGCTTTCCTAGGAAGTTACTAATTACCAATTATTTTAACCCATTGTTAGATACATTGGATTTCTAGGCAAGTCATTTTTTAAATAGTCTTTCACTGACAATATGTAGAGAGTTGGTTCGTCATAGAATAGCCAAGACATCGGCGCCTCTTTATGTAACAAATAAGATTTCAAGATTTGTTAAGAATCGATTTTTCGGAGGATATTGGGAAAACCGAGCTAGGACTCTTAAAAATGCAACATCAATGTTTTGGAATTGGTTTCGAAAAACGAGCATCGCCACGAGATTCAGCATGGCTGACTATGTATGTTCATGTCATTTCAATGTCACCGTAAGTCACCGCTGATAATATCAGATTACAAATATGATATTGTTATTCGGCTTGTCCAAACGTAACGCTGTTACGTTTTTGACACAGTTTTTCTCGATTATCTCGGAAAGTTTGAGAGCTAGAAAGTTCGTTTAGACGCTATTCAACACAGCTCATCATACTCTATGTATGCTATAAAAAGAGTTTTTTGTTTGAGGTCTGGAGCTTCGACAAAAGTTTTTTTCGTCGCGTAACGTTGTTATATAAAAAGACCCTAAAGTCGGAGTGCTCTTGCTAAAGTT